GCAGAAAACAGGCCCCAGTCGGTCGTGGTGAAAGCGGATCTCTGGTGTTCAAGAAGTCTGCAAACCATTTGTAAAAATTCCATGCAGTAATAACGTTAACGTTATAAAATTGGAAAAAGGAAGGCGGAATTTCGAAGTGAACCGATTGTGAGCACCAGTCTCCTCTCGATTTTTTTNTTTTTTTGGAAAATATTCAGATTCAGAATCAACCTCTAATAGGCAACAGATTCATGTTCGTCCCTAGAGTCTTCTCTGTGGGGTTTAATTGCATAAGAATAAGGAGTTAGAGAGGTTCACAACAGTTGAAAAAGACTCAAATGAGATATCAAATGCTTTCAGGTTGTCAGATGTCTGGGTGACGCACCCCTAAAATCAGAAAGGTAACACAAAAAAATTCGAACAATTCCGTCACCTTTTACTAATCGTTCAAGTTTAAAAGGGGCATCTATGACTTTCTAAGAAAATGCTCATTAAAATTTACGTTGTCATGTTTGTTTGGAGATTTGACTGACCATCTCTATGTAAATACGTTTACAGAAGGCAATCAAGTCAATCCATCAGGCTAATAAAGTTGTTGAGCGGTCCACCTAAAAACTCCGAAATTATTATGGTTATCGGTGGTTATTCCGAATTCAAAGAAGAAGGAGGATTCAGCGACTGTAACAAGTGTTTACGGCTGTACTATTACGACTACATTAGATCCTTAATTCTTTCTTGAACCTTCGTGTCCTGTATGATGGTTACAGTCTCTTTGCTGTAATTTTGAAATTTTATATTTTCATGATTATTAGGCGCTGGAACTTTCATTCTTGGACCGACATACCCGTGTAGTCAATTTCAAGATTCAATTTTTCCGCAGTCTATCATAAAATTGACTGTATATCCAGTTTTGTATATCCATCGGATTTTAAGTGGATCACGAATAAAGTAAAAACCATTTCAGTTTTGGTTGGTTGATTGTCTTCCCAGAATGTAAGAGATACAACTTGGTTTTTTGAATCGACCTAGCTAAATTTAACTGTGTGTAACATGGATATATGGATTGTGGATAAAATATGTGTTCATATGAGTGTTACGCATATTCCAAGCTCGGCAATGGAGCGAGTTAAGATGGAATACGGCCACTACCTGAACAAGGGTCTTAGACAAGAACTCTTGCAGATACACGAGCAACTCTCGGATCTTTCAACCAATGACAGAAGCTGCTAAAGAAAAATGATAGAATGA